GCCTACTCAATAGCATTAACACAGGCTTTACTCCTTTCAAACTTTATCTGGAATGTCACCGTTTCTGTCACTGCAACTTCCCGATCAGGCGAACGAACACACACACACACACACACGGAATCATCTGCCTCATGAAAAAAATTATTTAAAAAAATGTAGTATTTTATCCACCCGCGACCCACCCGCAAATAATCAGAATAAATTTTTTATTACCCGACCCGCGGATTATCCGCAGTGCCCGTGGATATAGGAAAAGCTAAATATGTTTGCTAGTACTCACATGCTGTGACAGACGCTTTCTGTCCGTGTGCTTCGGATGTGTGCTCTCAGAAAAACGTATATCAGAAGTTTAAACTAATATGGTTTAAAACGCATGATTTCAGCGCGATAAACATGAAAATCAGAACCAAAACAATGTTTTTTTAGCAGATCCGAGCTGTAATGGTGCTCTATTCTAGAAAAGGGGGCGGGGAGCAGCAGCTCATTTGCATTTAAAGAGACAGGCCCGAAAAACAGCGTGTTTCTGCTTCCACTCAAAATAGTATTCTCTCTCACAACTGCTTGTTAAACGCTCTAGTTTTATGTTCCTAGTACATTTGGTAATGAAATCATACGACAGGAAGCTGTTTTTTCAATTGTGCAGTATATTTACAGTGAATGTTTTTCAGTTGATGTCCTAAAAGGACATTCAAGGGGAACCCGCAGTCGTTTTCTTCCCGAGGCAGACCAAAGAAATTCCAAACGGGTTACACCACCCCGAAAACTCTTTCCCCAGCAGCTTTTTACAATTGTTTCTCAAACGCCCCTCCATACTAAAGCAATTAGACCGTTTATCTGAAATAACTGGGGGAAATCTTTGCATGCCGCAAAGGGAAGAGTGTGCAAATCTACCAAAGGCAGGTGGAGGTGCTGTTTGATGTGCATTTGTTTTTTATCTTATAATAGAGATACAATTTACGTAAGCTGTTTGTACACTCAAGAATCAGGCGACAAGTTACAGATGTTAGTTTTTCATGTTTTCTGTAGGTGATGGCCTGGTTGCTGTGGACGATGTGGACGTTACTTCAGAAAATATTGAGAGGGTTTTGTCCTGTATACCAGGCCCCACACAGGTAAGTGTGAGATTTTGTGTCTTTTCCCTACAATTGAGCATCTTTCTGAGACTAAATGCTTGAAACGTTTAAACAGAGCCAAAGGTGTTTTTGAAGTTCGAGCAAAGAAAATGAACAAATGTGTGGCTCATAATGTTTATTTTGCTCTGTCGTCGTCTGCAGCAGTCAAATAGTTCAACCCTGAGGTACATATAAGGATGAAAGCTGAGAAAAATCTCAAATCTCAGATGCTTTTCACCACTTGTGAGACAATTGCTCAGTTTTCCTGCCCGCAGACCTCCCGTAAACTCACAAACTCTGGGGGCACATCAGGTCAACTTTATGCTTTGGGAGCTGAAGTCTGTTTGTAAGGGATTAATTTGACTTAATTGGCTTGAAATTAGAGTTTTTTTTTAACAAGACATAATCTTTTCAGATGAGCACTTTCTAAAAGTGGTTTTGGTTTTTGGTCTCTGCCTCTCGGGCTTGCGAGTAAAACGCTCGGCCTGACTGATTTGATTCTTTTCCTGAAAACCCTCCAGACTAACAATATTTTTTATATTAACACATTTGGTTAAATGTGCTTGGTGAAATATTGGCCGTAATCTTGTCATAAACAAGACAAATGGACTGATGATGTGCATTAAAGGGTTAGTTCACCGCAAAATGAAAATTATGCTGCGTTTCCGCTCGGCCTGACTGATTTTATTCTTTTCCTGAAAACCCTCCAGACTAATAATATTTTTTATATTAACACATTTGGTTAAATGTGCTTGGTGAAATATTGGCCGTAATCTTGTCATAAACAAGACAAATGGACTGATGATGTGCATTAAAGGGTTAGTTCACCGCAAAATGAAAATTATGCTGCGTTTCACTCACCCCCGAAGCATCCTAGGTGTATATGACTTTCTTCTTTCAGACGAATCCAGTCGGAGTTATATTAAAAATTGTCTTTGATCTTTCAAGCTCTATCGTTGTACTCAGCGGGTGTTGCATTCCTTCTGTTCAAAAGACGTGAAATAAAAAGCACCCTTCCACAAACAAAGTGTCTCACACGGCTCCGGGGGGTGAACAAAGGCCTCACTGCTTTTGTGTGTGATGTGCGTCACTTCTGAGCGGCGCATGCGCAACGCTGACCCCATACGTCATTCCCCCGGAACTGCTTCTGTGTACAACTGTTGGCGCAAGCTAGATTCAAGTGATTATTACGTTTTGAATATGGATATTTTTCTTACAAAAACACATCGATTCGCTACAGGAGGCCTTTGTTCACCCCCCGGAGCCCTGTGAGACACTTTTTTTTGTGGAAGGGTGCTTTTTATTTCACGTCTTTTGAACAGAAGGAATGCAACACCCGCTGAGTACAACGATAGAGCTTGAAAGATCAAAGACAATTTTTAATATAACTCCGACTGGATTCGTCTGAAAGAAGAAAGTCATATACACCTAGGATGCTTCGGGGGTGAGTAAAACACAGCATAATTTTCATTTTGCGGTGAACTAACCCTTTAAGCTTTGATAGTTTCCTCATGTCGTAAGCTGCTGCTGAGCTCTTTGGGTTGGTGAGGCTGTTGCAAAATGTTTAATAAAGTTATGCAGCTTTTTTACTTTTTGCATTTTCCACTTATGGCCAAATAGTGATTGATTTCAACTAGTGGTCGACCGATATATCGCCAAGGCCGATATATTGGCCGATATTTGGCATTTTTCAAATATCGGCATTGGTCGATAAGTTTTTCTGTTTGACCGTTGTTTTCGTGGCGGGACTTTTATTTTGACGTCGCTGAGAACAGCAGCGCCTGAGCACACAGTGTTCACATTCTCCTTGTTTGCTGTCGTTGTTAACAGTTCTGTCTAATACGGATAGAAGTCTATCTAATAATCAGATAGAACTGTTAAACAAAGGAATTAAATTGTATACAAAAAAGTATTATAACGATTGCTTTAATATTATTAGTAATAGAAAGGCAAACATTATAATACTTTCTTATTTGCCGTCAGCATTCAGCAAATAGGCATTAAGTTAGTGATTTCAAATTATGCTGCGCTTTATGCATTTGCCCACTGTCATATTCATGTCATTTTCATTGCGTGCTGTATGTAAAATGAGTGTTACCTTGGCTTTATTTGAAGAAAAAAAAAAAGATTCCCAATGCACACAAACTTCCCAGAATACTGAGTGCTTCCAAGATATCGGCATCGGCTGTCAAAAAACACATGCCGATCGACCACTAATTTCAACCTAAAACACTTCATCTAAACCCCAAACCCAGAAGCTGTGTGAAGTCTGAAGCCACGTTCCAAATGAGCCCTAAACTCAGCTCAACTGGTGTTTGAAAATAAGAGCATTTAAACTTAAAACAGATGTGAAGAACCATATTTTTTAATTTAGAGATGCGCGTTTAATGGATTAGTGATTTGACCCTCAACTATTAAACTTTCGCACACAACCTGTCCTGCACCATTCATGTTATGCATGAATGAGAGATGTGCTGTTACGTTTCTACAAGCAATGAGTTTTAAGATTTTTTTTCTTACATTAATGGAGAGACCTGAGCCATGTCTAGAGATCAGAATATCACGGAGACTTTAACCAGTAAACAGCCTAGCAAGGATGCATTAAATTGATCAAAAGTGACAGTAAAGACATATTTAATGTGACAAAAGATCTCTATTTCAAATAAATGCTGTTCTTTTGAACTGTCTATTAATCAAAGAATCCTGAAGTTTTCTACAAAGAAATATGAAGTAACTGCTTTCAACATTGATAATAATCAGAAATGTTTCTTGAGCAGCAAATCAGCATATTAGAATGATTTCTGAAGGATCATGTGACACTGAAGACTGGAGTAATGATGCTGAAAATTCAGCTTTGCATCGCAGGAATAAATGACACTTTATTATTTTAATTTGTAATAATATTTCACAATATTACTGTTTTACTGTTTTTTTGATCCAATAAATGCAGCCTTGGAGAGCAGAAGAGACTTCTTTTTAACTTAAAAAAAATCCATTGCAAAAAGACAACACACTTGACATACAAAGATGCTCTGAAAACAAGTCTTAACATCTTATGTAGTGTTTTTTAGTTTTTACTGTACAAAAAGTCCAAAAAGCCTAATTTTTTGCAGTGCACTCTTAAAAATAAAGTTTCCAAAATGTGTTTTTGCTGCGAAACCACAGACGAACCATTTTTGGTTCCACAAAGAACATTTAAACAGTTCTTAAAAGGACAATTTTTCTTAGTGTGAAGAATATTAAAAAATTTAAAGACCCTTTTTCCACTATAGAGAACCTTTTGTGCAGTTTAAAGGTTGTTGCAAGTTCTTTGTAGAACCATCAATGCCAGTATAAAGAAGCTTTATTTTTAAGAGTGTGTTGTATCATGGGGACCGAAGATGTTGAGTTCAACCAAACATTGATGCTTTGCAGCCGTGTTTTTCTATAGCTAGACGCCGCTTCTTTCTGAGAATGCTTTCCATTTGATCACTTCTAAAGCTGGTTTTGTTCACTTAGTTGCCTGAAAGAGGACGGAACGTTGAAATTACAGAGTTGCGTCGCGACGGCGGTTACGGTAACGCTTGTTTTTGTAGGCCACAGGAAAAGAGCCATTATCCTGTGGAGAAGAGAGAGGGAGAAAGTGATTAAAGGACGAGAACCGATAGCAAATTACACCATAGGACAAAAAAGGACAGGCGAGGCTATTAGGATATTAGGGTAGAGGAACTGTGCTCTTGTGAGGTTTCAAAGGGCTTGCCAAGATTTTAAAATGAACTTCGCCTCGGCTGGTGATTTATGAAATTATAAGAGTTGCGTAATTGTTGTTGAGTCCGACCTTAAGAGTTACTAAATCACAGGAACAAAACCATCATGTCCACTGACAGCGGCCTTTCATTGGACACTGACACCAACACAGGGTCAGATTTTGTTTTTTGAAATAAATTAATATACTTTTTTTGAGCAAGGATGCATTAAATTGATCAAAAGTGGCAGTAACAAACGATTTCTGTTTCAAATAAATGCTGTTCTTTTGAACTTTCTATTCATTAAGGAATCGTGAAAAAAAGTGTTTCACAGTTTCCACAAAAATACGAAGCAAATATGAACTGTTTTCAATATTGATAATAATCAGAAATGTTTTTTTCGAGCAGCAAATCAGAATATTAGACTGATTTCTGAAGGATCATGTGACACTGAAGACTGGAGTAATGATGCTGAAAATTCAGCTTTGATCACAAGAATAAATTACGTTTTTAATTATATTTAAATAGAAAATAGCTATTTAAAATTGTAATAATATTTCATAATATTGCGTTTTTTTTCTATATTTTTGATCAAATAAAATCAGCTTCGACATCACTGGACACTTACACTTTAAAATATATTAAAACAGAAAACAGTTATTTAATTTGTAATAATATTTTACAGTATTGCTGTTTTTACTGTACTTTACTTTAACTTAAAGCTTTAACTTAGCTGCCTTAATTTTTTAAGTGCAATCAAACTGGCTGTACAAGTTATTTTAATTTAAATTATATTAAAGTGACTTAGAAAAATTGATTTGATTCTTGTATAACTTTTAAAAAATTAAGTTGAAATTGGTTAAAATAATTAGATGAATTAAAGTAAGTTTTTTTTTTACAGTGTATGTGTGATCAAATTAATTCAGCTTTGTATAACAGGAATTAATTACATTTTACAATAAATTCAAATAGAAAACATTTATTTTAAATTGTAAAAGTATTACATAATATTACTTTTTACTGTATTTTTGACTAATTAAATGCAGCCCTGGTAAGCAAAAGAAACTTCTTTAAAAAAAAAAAAAATTAAGTTGAAATTGGTTAAAATAATTAGATGAATTAAAGTAAGTTTTTTTTTTACAGTGTATTTGTGATCAAATTAATTCAGCTTTGTATAACAAGAATTAATTACATTTTACAATAAATTCAAATAGAAAACATTTATTTTAAATTGTAAAAGTATTACATAATATTACTTTTTACTGTATTTTTGACTAATTAAATGCAGCCCTGGTAAGCAAAAGAAACTTCTTTAAAAAAAAACATTGCAAATTCTTTCCGATGATAGTGTAAGTATCAAATAAAATACATTGTTTTTGAAGCAACATAAATTTTAAAAAAAATGTAAAAGTGTTAAGGTCCCACCGGCACACCGAGTCTGAAAATTTTTCCGAAATTTTCGCACGTTTAAAAATAAATACGACTTCACGTTATGTCAATCACGTTTACACACTGCCTCCGAAATATGTCCGTCATAAAAAAATTTGGATCGGGTTGGATTTTTTTCGTTTTTCGCATCCGTAGTAAGCATTTTGAGAGGTATTTTGACAGTTCAGAGCCACCGTACAAGCGAACGCCAAAATCCAGAATGGCGATTGTCAAGTTCATCCACTTCGCCTCACAACACAAAGCACTGTATATAGATCCTTGCACACCGAGTTCACAGAAATTGGTGGTCTTCTTTTTAATATGTGACTCTAGTATCGCTAGCAAAAGCATCAAACTGAGCCACTGACATCCTGAAGTAAACTTTGAATCGCCCGGGATAATCCCGCTGCTCCTTAATAAGGAGGGGGAACTCTCCTTCCTCTCTATCTCAGGATTGGATTGACCCAATATTTCCTTTTTTTTTGTCTTTTTTTAAGAAGCGAGAGGACAACAAAATCATCCTCACCGCTAGAAGACTCCATTTAGTGCTGTTTTGTGAATTTTTTCGCAACGGATTAATTAATACGCATCGGACTCAGTGTGCAAGGTTTCTGTGCGTGACGAATTTTTAGGATTTCGAATACGAAAAAACACATACGAAAATTTCCGACTAAGTGTGCAGAGACCTTTAGCCAGTCAGGCTAGACTTCCTAGCATTGGCCCTAATGTATGATCACATCATACCTACATTTACATTTATTCATTTAGCAGACGCTTTTATCCAAAGCGACTTACGGATGAGATGTGTGATGTGAATGTGAGGTCGGTGTGGAAGCTGCTCTAATAACAGCGCTGCAGTCCAGCTGTTTGCGGTCAGCAGACACTCATGTGTGCTCGGCTCTGCATGTTAAACAGCCGCTTTCTGTGTGCTGCTGCTCTCCTTGATCTCTGAGTGTACGGTTTTTATGATTTATACAATCTTAGAAAGCTACGGTTTGTTTTTAGCAGCAATATGTGGCTGGCTTTTGAGCTACATGTTAACCTAAAATCATAAGTTATATGTGTAAGTTGAATGTTCTGCTCACCAAGGCTTCATTTATTTGATATAAAACACAGTAAAAACAGTAATAATATGAGAAAATATTACAAATTAAAATAAGGGTTTTCAATTGTAATATATTGTAAAATGTAATTTATTTCTGTGATGCAAAGCTGAATTTTCAGCATCATTACTCCAGTCTTCAGTGTCTCATGATCCTTCAGAAATCACTCTAATATGCTGATTATGATTATTATCAATTAGGGATGCACCAGAACGAGTCCGATACCGATACTTTTCTTTTTGGTACTTGTAATACCGATACCTGTATTTGCATAGCATTTGTAATTTCTACAAATATTGGGTACAGAAACTACAAAAATGTTAGCTGGCTTTTTGTGTAAAACATTTTTGTTCAGGATTTTTTAGATGAATAGAAAGTTCAAAAGAAAAGCATTTATTTGATATAGAAATCTTTTATAACATTACAGATGTATTTATTATCATTTTTGATCCATTTAATGCATCCTTACTAAATACAAATATTAATTTTTTTAAAACCCAAACTTTTAAACAGCAGCATATAGTTTCAGAGTCTATGAGATATTTAGGCTTGAAACAAGTTCTCTTGCTTTTATGGCATCAAAATAATTTTGCATGTGGGAAATCAGACACAAAGAGTTCAGATCCAGAGGAATGGCACAGTATTACTGCAAAAGCTGTTATATGTTTCTGAATTACTAAAACAACATGTGGTGGAGCACAGAGAGAGTCTCTTTTGACACAACTTCATCTCTTTAGACCGTCATCATTCAGCCTTTCTGAGGTTATTTACATCAGTTAAACTTGATGTCAGGCTGTTGCACCAAAAATATAATTTATACTTATTCATGCCAAGTAATACAACCCAGCAGCCATTATTATACAGCTGTGTTCAACATGCTCCCTTATTTCAAGTTTAATTTTGCTTGTCCTCAAAGGGATCTCAAAGAACCATAATTTCTTGTCGTCTTTCCACTGTTCATACTGAAATGAACAATTTCTCACACTGTGAGAAAATAAATCGTAGAAAAACAGATGACTGCCGTTTGCCAGGACATTATCCATTAATTTTATGGACATTATAATTCATGTATATTCCCATCATTCATGTAATACAGTAAAAAAAAATTATAATAAATTAAATATTAATATTGTTATAAAATAAATTTAAAAAATATTCTAAAATATTATATTGTAAATTACAATGATTTTTAAAATCATTTTAGGTTCGTTTTCCTTATTTGTTAAGTTTACTTACATTTTCTGTAATAGGTATTTTGTGTGTGTGTGTGTGTGTGTG